CACTACTTTTAACATGCATTCTGTCACTACTTTTAACATGCATTCTGGGAGCTTTCCTCATTAGCTGAAGTGGCAGTAAAATCTTATCCTTTTAACAACATATGGATCACAAAATAGAATGCTGTAAATCCAAACAGGATGTTGCACTCTCTGATTCAGAGGCTGTTTGCAAATTGCATTCCTGTGTCACAGCAGTGCGGCTTGCTGCACATGATCAGGTGGCCATTTGGCTGTGGCAACATGATCCACTTTAGTGCATGTAGCTGCACAAGAGTATCTTGTAAAGGGTTAATGTGAATGTAAATTAGATATCACTCAGAACTGATACAAGAGCACATGACCACTAGGAACTGGCTCTCTCGTAGCCTTGCGGCAAAGGTTACATCTTGATTTGTATACAGTTAGTGGTTTCAGATTCTAAATAAAGAGGTATGTTTGGCCTTACATCAAAAGATTCCTTTAATATTTACCAATGTCCCTCTCAAACTCAACTACAGTGTTTACAAGGAAGCCATTTATAAAGTAATAGATGCTTTAATCTTTAAAAATTCACCTGCACTGATCTGACAGTTAAGAAAATAATCTATACCCTTGTACCAGTGGAGCAGTAAAGCTGACTTCTCGGGTCAGGACCCTTCTTCAGGGTCCTTTTTCTGAAGAAGAGTCCCAACCTGAAACGTCAACTTTCCTGCTCCTCTGATGCTGCCTGACCTGTGTTCCTCCAGCTCCGCACTGTGTTGTCTCTGACTCCAGCATCTGCAGTTCTTGCTATCTCCATACCCTTGAATCACCATTTGTTACAATTCTTAACCTTTGTCACTTCAGCTTTTAAAATCTTTTCATTCTCAAAAATTGTGTTTTGGCATGAAGTACCTCTGTGGTAAATGCTGCATCATTAATTTAAGCGTTAAATCAGGTACTCTAATTTAATAATGGAGCTTCTCCAACCATTAACTTTGACATATCTTTCAAATAAAGAGCATGTTGGGAACTGCATATTCAAATTCATTAATGCTGACCTTTTAAACAACTAGGTAATGAGGTACTTTATTATATATCAGGAAAATTCAACAGAAGGATGTCTGCATAGGTTGGGAGGAGGCTCGTGCAGAATATAAACATTACCAAAGTTCATTTGAGATGAATGCCTGTTTCTGTGCTGTATATAATCATAAATAATAAGCATAAAAAAATTAATGGCAGTGAGGAATTAAACATATTTACAGAGGTAGCACACACATAGAAAGTAACCCTGTAAATCAGAGATGAGCATTTTTTTTAAATTCATGCATGGGATAAGGGTATCGCTGACTAGGCCAGCATTTATTGAGTGGTTATCCAATAGATCCATACTTGCTAATGTTGAATTTTAGCAAAGTGGTGTAGCTAGTGACAGTTACCAAGTGGAAACTGGAAACCTCCAGGATAGGGAGGGAAAACAGTAATAAGGATCCAGTGGAATAATACAAATTTAGCAATTAATTAATCACTAACAAAAAGATCATGGATTCTTTCTTTTAAAAAATGTTAAGAATTTTTGGGGGTGTATTTACCTCCTGACAGATTACCATTTATCCTGGAGCAATATACCAATAAATACTAAGTCACTTACTCCTGCAGGATCTTGCTGTCTGTAGTCTGTGGGTAACCAAAGTCCATTAGCTCATCAAGTAGCTCATAGATTATAACAAAATTATCACGAATACTTTCTTCTTCCAGCTCTTTAAAATACTCAGAAAACACCTGGAAAGTCAAGGGGATAGAAATGTCAATGTAGATACACCATGACCCCTACAGTTCAAGCTTTAAGGTAACAACGAAGCTACAGAAACAACACCTTTCACTGAAGGTAGGAGAATGCAAACTCAAGCTTGTAATTCCCACATAACAGTTTCCAAACTCCACCAAGCAGAAATAGACTGGGAAAGCAACAAAAGAAGACAAGGTCAACCAAAGCCACACATGCCTTGATTAGAGGTAGCTGATCATGTCATTCCATTCAGGGCTAGGTAATCTTAGTTGATGCAGGGAAGTCTAATAGAGTCAGTTATCTCAACCAGTCCCTTAAAAGCAAATCTGATAGATAGGCAGAATGTCACTGGCTTGTGCCAAGCTAGTTAATCTCATAAACGGCCTGCAGGCGAATTTAGAACCAGGGGTCAGAGTTAATAAATTTGAGGTTTTACAATTGAGACTGAGATACGGGTGTTTCCGCGCTCCCATTCCTGAAGGTCATTAGTCTGTGGAATTCTCTTTCGCAGACAACCCTGGAAGCAAGGTCACTGAAAATGCTCAACAATGAGTTGGATAGATTTTGATCAGCAAAGTCATCAGTAGTAGACAAATGTATGCAAAGTCATAATGAAAGGAACTTGCAAGAAAAGGATTTGCAGCTGATTTCATTCCTCACCATCTGGCCTGGAATTCATTTACTGACCTGTTACAAATTTAAGAGTGCCTCGTGATGTTTGACAGCACAATTACACATTTCAGATATTCAATAGAGCTCCAAAGTTCTCAAAACTAATTGGACAATTACCATTTCTGTAACTAAGCAACAAACTGTTGTTTGAAATTACATGTTTCAGAGGAGAACATTTGCACTCTTTGTGGATGAATAACAGGATACGTAGAGAGTCTTCCAGCCTGTTTAATTCCACCCATGTAAACCAAGTTTGGAAACACACTGGTGAAACATTTAAAAAAGAAGTGGGAAGGCTGCTGATTCACCAGAGCAGCAAGAGATTTTCAGGATGAGAGAAGGAGTGTTTGGGGGGTTCAGGATGAAATGAAGAATTGCACAGTTTGCATCTAGAAGAGAAAAGGAGCAAGTAGTAAAACCAATACCCTCACCTGAACTACCTTATAAAGGAAAGCAAACACCAGAGAGACACAGGCATTCTTCTTGGACGTTGCAACAACTGCAGAGATTAGAGTCAAGGCATTTAACCAAATGGCCATAACTGCTTACACCGCCCCAACACCACCTCCAAATAACTGGAAGCATGTAATCACCTGGGAGAGATTAAAAACCATCTATTGAATTTTCAAATATTGAGTGCAGTAAAATAAAAGATACCGCGCTCAATGACAGATTATAAAGAGAACACATTGCAATCTGCACAGCACGAGGGTTGGTCTCACTTTAATATGGGAGCAAAAACAATTGGAAAGTTCTGTGGTTACGGGCAAAGTCTAGAGAATCTATTGATAAACAGCACAGCTGAGAAGAGATAAGGAAATATTTAGTCATAACGCTATAGCAAGAAAGGCAATGGGGTAAGGTTGGTGGATGAACTGGCATGAGGAAAGACAGCACAATAGTTGGAGGGGGCAGGGGTTGCATGGATGGGATAGAACACCCTTCTATCTATCTTGTTAAACATTCAACAGTAACATAACTAATTGGCAAATTAGTCATCAACAGAAGTCAGAAAGTTCATCAGTCTGTATGCACTAAATGGCAGGGTATAACTAGGGGCATATTCCAGGATCCATACCAGGAACACTACTTATAAATACAATTAAAGCAATGTGGAAAGAGGAATAGAGCTACATCTCTAAATATGCTGACAACTGTCACTGAAAAAGTACAGCAACTAATGTGGGTAGCAGGTTACCAAGGAACACAGATAGATAAGGTGAGTCAGCAAAACTGAGGCAAAAAAAATTAATGTGGGAGAGCACAAGATCATTCACTGTGGTTCAAAGCAAGATAGTTCAGAATATTACCCAAACAGTGACAAGTTAGGAACTGTACAGGAGCAGATTTAGGAGTTCAACCAAAGCTAAGTTACTGAACAGGTGCAAAAGTAAATTTGAAAAAGGCAAATGGGATATTGCCTTTCATCTCAAGAGGGTTGAATACAAATGGATTAAATGATAGGGTAAAAAGAAATAAATTATCTTCTTTATTGGGACAGTCTACAACAAGGGAGCATTTTAAAATTAGACCTAGTTGTTCATGGATGCTATCAGGAAACACTATTTCACATTTTTACTGGCATCCATCCATCCATAAACAGCAAACCATCTATTTCAAGTGGGATGCCTTTACAAGGTACATCTTTGCTGACGGTCAATTCCTGAAGTAGTAGTACTACACATCAAGCCAACAGGCTCTGTGGATTTGCCTCTAAGTTAGCATCAGTGCCAAGCTACTTAAGCCACTGATCATTAAAGTGGTGGATGCCAGCCCACGGGTCGTTTGCCATTTTCTTTCATCACAGTTCCCAAGTACAATAACCAATGTTCAGGGGCTTCATGTCATGCTTGCAAGCATCCTCAAAGTGAAACTCTGGGATTGCACTGGTTATCAGAGCAGAGAAGGTCCTTGGATATATGATCATCTTCCATTCTCGAAACAGCCCTGAGCCAATGAAGCCACCACTGTTTCATGAATGCTAACAAATGTGGGAGCTCAGCCACATTCATGTACTTGCCTTGCTAGGACATAATGTGCTGCAAAGACGGAAACTGTTGAACTTTTTTGTTTTAAATTTAAGAGTGGGTAAAAGTCTTGAATCCTATCAATAAAAATTCTAGCTTTGGAGTCAATTGAAACTTTCCAAAAGAGAATTGTAGATTTTTGTACAATGATATGAAAAGTTGCAGGATAGGGTGAGTAGCCAGAGTAAAGATACAGATCAGCCATGACCTAAGTGAATGGCAAATTAGATTCATGAGCGGTTGCCTACTGTTCCTATACTCCTGAACACCTTAAAATAATCAGGCGTATCCCAGACACACTTACAGAAACGGAGATCATCTCAGAATTTTCAATTTGGCATAGCCTAGTTATAATGCAGTACATGATGCCTTTGCTGATAGGACCTTGATGAATACACAGACTTGCTAAAAATTCTGAGGTCTCCTTCACATTTAATCCTAAACGGGTCATTTCAAACTCAAAGTAAGTACAGAAAGTTGGCTGCTGACAAAATTCAGTAACTTAATGTTCCTGGTGCAGTATCAAAAACCTCTCATTTGACAACAAGTCTTCATTAAACAAGAAAATTCAATACAATTCATTTTAGCTAGTCTCAACTTGACTGAGGCCAAATGAGAATGGAGACATTATGTACCAAAGGCAAAAGCTCGGTAAGTGTAACTAAAACTACATTCTCAATGACTCAGACTGACTCATAAATCCATCAAGAAACAGGCACAAGGGAGAGTAAATATTGCAGAGAAGGTATGCCAAGTAGTTTAGCAGCTAATCAATTTGTTCTATGCTACGTTGGGAGATTTGGTATTGAGGCATGTGTACAATACCTGCCAAAGATTGAGATGTACATCGTTGATGTTAATTATTGTTGAATGCAGTCAAATTGCAAATCAAACAGTAATTTAAAAAATGCCGGACTCGGAGACACCAAAGAGACCT